CTCTCTAAGTGAAAATATCATAACTAGTAACATCATAGATTTTATAGGCTTGATCATTGCCACATATCCAATAATTTTCCATTTATGGCTTTGGGGTCAAATTTACTTTAATTGCTTGCAGTATTAGCAAAGCACATTCAACGAGAAACCCTAAGGTCTGGTAGGTCTTGTTTTTTGTTGTGAAGTTTTTCAAAGGGTGTTTGTTCCCCAGAACAATAATGGGAACCGTGTTGAATAAATACAATATATTTTAATACAGTCTAGGCGCGAAAGGTTGGCTTGGAATCTCAAGGCTCTGGCTACAATCAGGATATGTTGGTGTTTTCAGTCTTGGCCCCTCCTCTTGAGACCTCACTCCATAAAGAGATCATTCATTTGAATTTCCCTTCCTTGGTCACTCCTTATTCTTTTCACAAAGGTTTGGAACTGTCTCTCAACATGTTGGCATAGCTCTGGTAACTTAGGTTTGGTTTTAAATTTGGTTTGCAACAGAAGAGCCATGCCATCTAGTCATCTACCGTGTTGAGAAGATATTTGAAACCATCATAATTGCGAACATGATTTGCCCCTCGAATTTCTACATGCATTAATCCAAAATCGTGTGTGGTAATAGTCGAGCTATAAGGAAAAGGAAGTCTCTTCTGGCTCGCAAAATGATAGAGATCACAAGGCAAGAACTTCTATGTTTCTATAGATGTACATAGTTGCCTCGAATGAGAGATTTTGGAATGTGAAATATGAACTAGTCAAAAATTTCAGAGATGAAAAGCTTGAACATAGCTCCTGTGATGTGTTTATGGTTGTTATATACTACAAATGCCATGTTGTCTATATGGTAAAGGCCATCGGAGAGCTTAGCAGAGCCAACCATCCTTCTCACTTGCATATCCTAGGTCAAACATACATTAAAGAAGAAGGTAAGTCAAAGGAATTTGTTGTGGTCAATTTGCTAACTAAAATGAGGTTAAAGCTAAATTTGGGCACAAACAAAATCTCACCGAGACCTAAACCTATAATATAAGTGACTATCGTTGCATGATTTTCCTCTACTTGATCTGTTATTGAATCAGTAATATATACTGTACACTTTTCTGTAACTCACTAGATAACTTAAAGAGCATACTATGTGGTATGAAGCCCTTATATCCATATTTTTAGGCTTATTGATATGGTGTCTAGTTGTGTACAATTAGGGAGTATTTACATGAGAGTTCTAGAGTGCTGTGGTTGAATGATGTAGCTAAAAACCAAGTCCAACATTGAGTGGAGTCCTTTGGATGTTCTTCTCATTCATAAGATTCATAAGTTTGTTCTAATTTCTTTGATGAGTCTGATTTACTACCGAGAGTCATCTGGACTTGATGGTTGAGATGTGTTGACATAAGTACTGCTTTTGGAGTTCTTCTTGGAGTCATTTATCTAGGCCAATCATGCTTGTGAAATCATTTGTCTTCTGTGTGCCTATATTTTTTTACGGTAAGTGTATTCTAGACTTCTAGTATCTTTCCAGTTGTATTTGAAGGCCTTGGAGTCATCCTAGGTGGCCAACCATGTTTGCATTAGCGCACATCTTCTTTATGAAGTTGTAATTTCCATTAAGTGCAAAATGATTTCACTTTAATGTTTTGAATGTTGTTGCTACCTTGTGCAGCTAAGGCCACACTCTCAACAATAAATGCTTTTGCTTTGTTGGGTTCCGTTTTGTTGTCTATCATGATGAAGCATTCTTTTGAAAATTTGATCAGCAGGTGACAATGTCTCTAGAAAACACATCGAATCTTACATTTGTAAAGTTATTGTTAAGACCTCTTAGTAACTAAATCATATTATTAACGCCCTTGTATGAAAAATCTTGCCTCATGGTTGTATATGTAGCATGACTATCGCAAGTGAAATTACAGCTTTCAAGATGTTGCTAGTTGTGTAGCTCATCTCTTAGAGCAATCAGGTTTCCATAATAGCCAATGAAAGTTTGGTTACCTTGCTTTTATGTTAGAGAGTGTTTATGTTAGCTCTGTTATCCTCACCATATCTCATTGCCCATATCTTGCTTTTTGGCTTATCCAAGCTTTAAAAGCTTACTTGGAAGACATTATGGTCTTCTTGATTCCAGGATCTACTCCTACTGAATTCAACTCTGTACCATGATGTTGTTTCTGCTTCAAAGACAAGCTAATAGGTTTTCTTATCCTTGTTTGGCAAAATACACTTCTATATCCATAACTTTCACGTTTGTGACAAATATATCCATAACTATTGAAATACACGAAATACCCAATTTCGATCTTCCATTTAACGGCGTGAAGTAACTGAGTGACTGTACTGACGGGAAGGCTGAGTTGGCATTTTAGCATCCCCACTAATCCACGTGGAAAAAAAAACGAGGAAAAACGATATTGCGTTTTGCACCCCCACTAATCCCCACTGATTCACTTTCTTCTCCAAAATTTCCCTTCGCCCCTTCATCTCCCTTTCTTCCCTTTCTTCCCTCCGACCACGACGGTCGACGAGGATCATCCCCCGCCAGTTTCGAAGGTCAACGAGGTATCCCCAAATTTCCCTTCGCCCCTTCATCTCCCTTTCTTCCCTTTCTTCCCTCCGACCACGACGGTCGATCCCCCCCCTATTTCGTTCCATCTCCCGTCGTCGCCGCCTTTGCTAGATGTTGTCGTGCATGCATCTTTCGAGGTAATAGACTGACGACGGCCGTTTCCCGACGAAACCCAAGCGCCCTGTTCATGGCAAAGGCACCGTCGAAGCCTAGGACCGCCGAGAAAGGGTTTTTCCGAAAACCCTAATCGCAACCAGCAATCGATTTCTTTTCTCTTCGGTTTTGGAAGCTGGTGAGCACTGGGTACCCTTCAATTACTTGGGTTGTGGCTTTCAATTGTGGGCAAAAGGTTCTTATTTGGTTTATTGTGTTGTGGCTTTCAATTGTCGAAGCTTGCTTTAAAGGTTGGAAAGCGACAGAGCAGATTCGAACAGGGATTAGAAAGGTGAATGTGAAACCCTAGATCGTAGCGTGGAGGCGCCGCCAAGGACGCGGCAAGGGGCGCGGTGAGGCTGCTGTCGGAGGGAACCGTTGGATCGGCGGCGGGCGAGCTCTTCTCCAGCGCAGCCGATGGAACCCTAAATCGTAAATCGAGTTTGAGAAAAGGGGGTGGGTGGGAAATTTTTTTCTCGACGGTGTAGGGTATAAGGGGGGAAATTTGCTGACATGGCGTCCACGTGGTTCCCTTTGCTGACCTGGATCTTAGGTGGCAGAAGATTATGGTCCTACTCACTATTCCGTCCTATTTACTGACGCCGTAACAAACGGCGTTATAGTTTGTAACGGAAATGGATAGATTTGTCACACGATAGTACAATTTTTTGGGTATTTCGTGTATTTCAATAGTTATGGATATATTTGTCACAAATGTGAAAGTTATGGATATAGAAGTGTATTCTGCCTCCTTGTTTTATCAGAGAATCTTTGATGAAGTCAAACTTGCTTTTTGCTCCCAAGGCATCGCATATGGTCTTGTTCTAGTCATTGTATTCAGTGATGGTAAGCTTATTTTTCAGCAGCTTGTTTGGATGGACAAAAAACTTAGGAATTAGAATTCATTTCCAATTCTAGTTCATTATTCTATGTTTGGAAAGGGAAGAAGGTTGGTAAATGAATTCCATTTGATCCAAATTATGGAAATTAGAATTCCTATCAAAAGTGATAGGAATTGGCTTTATGGATATGGAATTAGTGGGACCCATGCACATTTATTGTTATTTTATCATTCCGCTATCATATTCCTCTCTTTCTCTCTCACTTATATCTCATTTCTCAAGGTAAAAAAATATACTAAAGTATTAATTAATTGTTAAAAGTACAATTCATTTCCACAATTGTGAGAATTATACCAAACACAAAAATTGAAAATAGAATTCCATAAAAGTCAGAATTGGAAATGAAATTCCATTTCCATTTCTTATAGTTATATCCAAACAGGTTGTAACATCAACGTAGGTAATAAGGAATTGCCATCCGATCAAATTGTTGTTGGTAGCTTAAATTTCTTCCTCATCGCAATGGTTGCTCAGAGTCGTATGTAATACCGACTAGTTGATGGGAAGAACAATCTTTGTATTTTGATGATCAAGTGTGACAGGCTTACATACAAACATATACAAGTATCAATTCCTACCCTACTAAGGTAGTCGACGTACTAAATGTGACTATGGACCATGAGCGCTCACTACTGCACGTGTATGGACTCATCTTGTCACGGGACATGTGTAAATTTTGATGAAAAAGTATACTCCATACATATTTATATTGTTGATGGAACATAACACCTACAGGTGGTATGACAATATTTTGTCATTGCAACACACTCCATTACTTGTTACATACTATAAACGAAATTCCAATTGCAATAAAAGATCTAATCGAATCTTTTTTTTCTTATGTCTATTCGACTTTTTCCCCAACAATTCTGATATTGTCAAGCTACAACGGCAACATTAAAAAATATCTGGTTAAAAGTGTAGACAACGAATATTTCTCGTTGAAAATATATGATCTTATTTCGTAGGTAATGAAATGTTGTGAATTACACGCTCTTATGTGCGAGTGTACAGAGAGAGCAATGGCTGTTTTTGGGAACCTGACCATGGTTCTAGTTTGTTTCCATTTCTCTTTCTTCTTGTACATCTATCTCCTCTTATTTTATTATTTTCTGAAATTATATATATTTTATATCTCTCCGTATTTTCTCAATCGGTTTAGAGCTGGAATGAAAGGACGGTAGTCGGGTCAACAACTGCACCCAGCCAGGATCGTCAATCGTGTCCAGCCACCGGACTGTACACGTGGGCCTCTTTTTTGTTCCGTAATTGATGTTTTGCCTTCCTTTTTCTTTGTGAATTGGGCCTCTGTTTTAGTTTCGGTCAGCACTTTGGTAGTTTGGTTGAACCTTTTGCTCTTAGATTAGAGATCACGTATAATATTAGGAATGTTTTTCCGAGACTTGAGTTGAGACTACAAATAATCAGATTGGCATCACCTTCACCATCATTTCGCGAAAATGTTCAACGTAACCAAACAGGCTTTTCAAAGTCATTAACCAGTTAATACGCAGTAATAAAATACAAAATCCGTTTTACAATAGATAGCAATAAACATAATCCAGCGCCACAAACGAAAGAATTTGGAACCAAAATACAGCGAAAAAGTAATTATCACGCAGACAAATTTGAACAAACAACAGCAACAAACAAACAATCAATCGGAAAACTCTGTATGTAAGTAACAGTGTCGACTGTGGAGTTCTCCTCTGGTAATTATGTGCGCTAAAAAAATTCCATTCCCAGCAGCAAATATACAACACACAAACTCCATCTTGCTCTCCAGGTTACCTATCTACTCGTTCCTCCAAACCACTCGCTTCTCCCTACGTACGTATATCAATATATCATATAATCTTCCCGTCATCAAGCATCCGGAAGAGGAAGGGAAGTTACCTGAACAAACCCTTCAATGGGCTGTGCCTTCATCCTACATTTCTTCACCTCTGCCACTTTTTCTCTGGAACATGACAAGCAGTAGATGACTGGAAGCGTTAGACCTCATGCGACACTCATGTTGACAGGAGAGAAAGAGTTTTGAAGAGGAGAACATACCATTCTTTGAAGCTGGTTGAGTTTGAGAAGCAGTCCGCTGGATGCGTGGAGAATCATGTCTCCCATTTGCTCCGGGTAAAGAATGACGCTTCTTGATGTACTCTCGGTCGTTCACATCCGGGCTCGATCTTGGAGAGCTATTAATAGCCTGAAGCTTGGCTCTTGCGGACTCGGTGACTTGCATGAACCGTGGGACCGAGCTGCTGTTGCTGCTGCTGTTACTGGGCCGAGGATCTTGGTCGTTGGTGGCGTTGTCATCTCGTTTAGGCGAGCCAAATGAGTTCCTCCGCTTCCCGCTGTTCCTCGCGTTGGAATCACTTTGAGGGGATGGTGCAGACTTTTTGTTACCAGCAGACAACGACTTCCTTTTCTGAGTTGAAGAAGCTCTTCTCTCGCGTTTCTCGCTTTTAGTTACCGACACTTGACTTGCAGGCGTTCCGTGGGACTCCCCAGGGATGGTAATTTGGCTTCTGGTGGGAGAGGCAGCTCCCAGAGATCTCTCAGCTTCTTCTTGTTCTCGCTGTACTGCTAGCTCGGGTGAGTGGACTGAGTTAACGATAGCTTTGCTCTTCACATCATCGAGTTCTTCAGGCTGAGCGACAACAACATTAGGAGGGTTCGGCAAGGGATCTTCCGATGCATCCTTGCATTCTTCACCTGCATTCTTTACCACACTAGTGCTGTGGGTTTCCTCTTCTGAAGTTTTCAATTCTTGCCTGTGCTCGAGTTCTGCTGCTCCAACTTCCGATATGTCAGGTGAGTCGAGAGTCGAGGTGACAGAGAGCTCGGTACCACATTCCGAAGCGCCATATTGCACGGTTGACATATTGGTGACCGAGTGTTCAGAGGTACCAGGTTCCTTAGCCACGGCCAGAGTCTCTTCAGAGGAAGCTTTCTGCAGTTCAAGTTCAAGTCCTGCATCTTGTTGTTGCACTCGGTTGTGTCTTTTGTTTGAATCGGTAGCTGGACCCAGCCCGTGCTCGAATTTGGACTGCGCAGCAACAAATGCAGGGTTGCTAACCTTCCTCGATCCATAAACAAACTTCTTTCCTTCAGTCTCTAAATCATCAGAAGCAAGTCTTTTCATAGAAGATCGTTTTGGGGGTTCAGGTTGTTCGGATTCTTGGGCCGGTTGACCATGTACATCTGACTGAAACGTCTGACTTGGAAGATGACTTGAGTCAACTGATGTCTCCTTAACATCATCATAAGGAATATCCACTGAACTTTGAGGCTGCTCCGAGTTATCTCCTGCTGGATGGGTTGATGCTTGGCATTCCTTAAACTTGGGATCACTTGCATTATATGTAATGTGATTTTCTTTACTTTGGAGCGAAGAAACAGCTTCCTCAATGTGGGATCTCGAATCGTCAACTACGAGGGAACTCTCAGACACCACAGAATGCTCCTCTTGCTTCTCTTCTTCCACCTTTTCAGGGAATGGCTTTGGTTTTGGTGTTAGCTCCGGTTTTGGTGTGGGCTCAACTGATGAAGCAGACGTCCATCTCTCCAACCAGACCCAAGAGGAATTTGGCTGTAGAGGATCACACTTGATGTTGATGGGTCTTGACTTTGGTGTTGAACCTACAAGCTGCAAATGTGAAAGAAGAGGATTGGAGTATTCACAGTGAGTGGAGAGTTAGCATATCCATAACCAAAATAGCATCATGGAAACCAGAAAATATTCGTCAGGATACCTGACGAGCAAATCTGTTACTCAGCAACTTCTCGAGTGAAGTGTAAGTTACTGTTGGTTTGGATACGGAGAGTTCCTTTTTCTGAGACAAAAAGGGGGAGTATGGTGAGATTATTGGAATATTGTCCACGAACTAAGCTGGCATCCAAAGAACAACAGTTTGTAATTGTATTATCGAACAATAAAGATATTTTGTTCTGTTCATGAAAATTGTTCCAATTCATAATAGAAAGATGTAACTAAGATCCAATGTTGTCAACAGTTTCAATTCCTTCATTGGTTAGTCAAAAACTCAAAATAAACTAGGATTTGGATGTATACACTACAGATTACACATAGACTGCAACCCCTATCCATCTTAGTTGGTGCTTCGTTCATTTGCTTAGGCTGTACGTAAGTAACTAGGATATATCACTAAAAGGTGGTAAGACAATAAATATGAGTTGATGGGCTTTACCAAGGCTTTTGAGGAAGCCATTTTCCCATTGTCAACGTTCGACTCTCGATTACGAGCATGACGGGCACGTACAAATAGTTGCATTTTAGTAATGGCCTGAACACAGCGTAGGGTTCCCAGAGCACGTTGTCTGACCAGGTGGCCACGAACAACAGCTTGCAGCTTCACCACACTCTTAAGCCTGACAAGTTCTTTTTTAGCCTGTGGCACCAATTTCAGAAAGTTCAATTATGTCAAAATAAGGCAAGCAATAAGCATCAGAGGAGCATATCTTGAACAATGTAAATGACATTTACCATAAAAGTTCTGGCTGCAGACTGTAGGATGACAACAACTGATTCTTCCATATTGGCATCAGCTTCCTTTTCGTCCTTGTCGAGTGTAATGGTCTTGGATGCTTTCTCTTCCACAGGGATTGGCAATGTTGGCTTCTCATCAACGCATTCCACAACTGAAATTTTCTCAGGAACTGAAGGAGTATCCTGTTGTTGATAGTTAAGACTGGCAGGTTCTATGCTTTCCTTGATTGTTGTAGAGGGGGATTCTGATGTGACATTATTGCTTAGTACTCTATGACGGGCTGATCTTTTCCGGAAACTCCACCCACGCTTGTCACTTGAACCTTTGTTCTGTAACAAATTTCGACATCGTTAAATCGCTATACCTCCCTCATCAAAAAGTCACTAGCATTGGCAGCCATGGCACTGAATGCATATAGCCAAGTAAGTTGTTAACAAAATGGACAACCTAATTGCAACCTAGGCAAATGCTTATTAGAAATTAGTTTATTCATCCCAAAGCCAGACAATATGCACAACTTTCTTTTACCAACTCATGGACGACTGAAAGCAAACGACCAGGCAGTCTCCAGCTCTCTTGACTAGAGCTCAAGCACACCATACACTTCCTATATAAAAGGGTAAAAAAAAAACCCACAATTTTTTGAATTACCAAATCATTTGAAGACAAAGACAAGTCCCCCTATTGAGAAATTTATAGGGCTTGGACCTACTTTTCCCTCTACTGCAACTGGATGCCATACTATTCCTAGCAAGATATGTGCTTTTACTTGGCTGGTTTATCAAGACAAGATTCTCACACTCGATTGACTGCAACAAAGACGTTGGGAATTGCCAAACAGGTGCTGCTTATCTCTACAAACTGCTGAAAGTACAAACCACCAACTTCTACACTGCAACTTTGCAAGGAGTATATGTAATTACTCTTTCTGGAGACTCAACTCCATAGTAGCCATCCCTTCACGCTGTCCTAACCAATGGAGGCATTTTACTAAAGGTACAAATTTTCCAAAGTTCATTAACCTGCTGCCTCACTCCATCATTTGGAGCATATGGCTAGAGCGAAATGAATGAACTTTTAGAGATACCAGCTGCTCATGAGACCAGGTAATGCACAAAGTGGTGAACGACTGTATAAACTGGAGTGTGGCTAAGGTTGTCCTGAAACAACAGGAGGTACGACTATTGAGTATGCTTTTGTTTGGGTATAGAAACACGCCTTCTCTAGATAGAACCTGAAGATTTTCTTTCATCGATTGCTGTAATGTTCTCTAAGAATATATTCAATTGTAACCATATACGAGCTCCTAATTTTGTGAGCAACCAACATTTCATTAATACAAATACAAAAACAAAATCATTCATAAAAATAAAGTCCCCCTCCCCTCCAAAAAGTTCTCCAAGCTTCCATACATCTCCGACAATACCAGTTGAAGTAAGATTCCCAGATACATACACTAGAACAAGAAGAATACAGCGCTAATATCCAGCAGAGTCTCTCAGATCGCCTTAGTTTCATCCAAATAGACGAAAAAGAGAAAACAACCCTTGACTCATTCTAGCCAAACGAATATTTGAAAATTTGATCCGTCGGAATTAAGATCCGTCCGTATCACCTTTGAAACGTAGCTGGAAGTTCTATCCAAAAATTCCAAACAATCCTAAAGTAGTAACGATCACCACCAATACCTAAGAAACACTTCCCCTGATACAACAACGCGAGGATCCTACTAAAAAACCAGCAAACGAAAAGATTCACCAGCAGTTAATCAACAAAAGCAAATAGATCCAACTACACACTCTCGGATCTCGATTGCTAACCCGAAAGAGAACTTGCATCAGTTCAATTCCAGTTTCTTTCCATTTCCATCATTACTCTTTACTTGGAAGCTCCAAGTAAGAGCTCGGAGAGCTCGAAGTCGCAAAAGCCCAAACGGATCACATGAACTACACTACTGATAGTAGACTTCGAGTAGAGATTGCTAGCTCGATTGAACTTCCAGAGAGGAAAAGAAAAAAAACAATGCGGCTCGAGAAATCAGGTACCTCGGGAGCTTGGATATCAATGTCATCCTTCTCAACTACGGAATCGCTCCCGCATGTGATAATCTTGAAGCAGGGATTGGATCTCCCCATCGCTCCGCCGTCTCCTTCTCCGCCGCTGCTTGCTTTCTTATCCGGTGCCTATGGCGGCGGCGGCGGCTCTTCTGTCGTCGAGTAGCTAGGTAGTAATAGTAGTAGTGTCTAACTCAGATTCTCAGACAATGGCAGCCAAGGGCTATATCGGGAGAGTGTTGTTGGAAATTGTAGCAAAGAGAGAGAGAGATGGAGGGAGAGTTGGCCACGGACCTCACACCGCGGGTTTAAATCCGGTGAATCCCGGCGTTTGGATTCCGCCAACCCCGTTTTCACCGTTTCCGTTGGGCGTTGGACCGTTGCCTTCTCTCATCAATCTTTCCTCTTTCACTTTCTTTCTTCTCCCCCGTGAAGGTGAAAAGTAAAAAATCTTAAGTCTTAACCGTGGTGTGGAAAATGGGCACAAAGAGAAGTAAAAAGAGAAAAAAGTCAGCAATAAAAAAAAAAAAAATTCACCGTTTCTCTTGCGTCTTGATAACAAGTCTAATACTATGTTGGACCGTAAAATGAAGAATTAACTTTTAAATTTAGCGATGGGGGAACAAACTTCCCGTTGGTGTATCAATGCGGCCGCATAAATTTAATTCCTGTGAAGACAAATGTGCCAATCCATCAATGCTGTAGTGTTCCGCTGCCGCTCTTTACTACTTAGTGCCATGTTGGTTGCTCAACCAACTAATGCTTTCAATAAATAACACATGTTGCTTTGCTCGATCGAATCCAAGGAAGGACCGGTCACCATTCAACACATTTGCAGAGAAACGAATAACCAATACGTCAATAATGAATAATAATAGGGGCTTGACTAAAATTTTGTTTAGGGTGCGTCCATTTACAATAAAATGGGTTAACAATTCAAACACATGATCTTTCGGTCAACCATTTGCAACTAGAAGTGTGTTAAATTTCCTTATCAATTAACTATTATACTAGTTTACTCATGTTTTTCCTTAGGAGCTTCCCGTTACGCTCTCCATACCACTGATTGAAATAAAATTATTTTTATAAATTAGCTATGATTTGGTGGAAATTTGTTCGAGTTGGACAAATACATCTTTTAATTTTGGGCGGATTTATGCGCCATTGTCATTTCTCGTTTGTACATAATTCGTTATAAAAACATTGAATATGTTAATACACAACTTATAAATCATATATAAAATATTTGAAAGGTCAACCATTCTCATTAAAATACTTATTATTTTTCATACCTGATTAACTATTATACCTAATTTATCACTTCCTCCCAAGCCAGGGTGGGTCCCTTCTCTCTCCGCCCCTGATAATCATGCATTCTTTTATATTTATTGCATATTAAGGTGATATACAATGGTATATTTTGGAGAGAAAAATTGAGACATTTATTACCTGTACATACCATGGTGACAATGTTTGGTAGTATATAAGAATATTCCGTGTGGTATAGAAGTGTGTCATGTTGGTATGAGTATACCATAATGTAGAATAGTTCTTTACATGATAGTAGGACTATACTAATCAATATTTACTAAATTTCATCATCGTTTACCACCAGTTACCACCGTATATCAGGGCGATATAGGGTGGTATTTTTAGTCTTAAAAAATTTAAAGATCCAATAGATTATGATGAACTAGTTCATTTTGGGTAAAATGTTCTAAAATTTGAGTTAAAACAAAGGTGATACAAAGTGGTGTCATAGTGGTAACGAGTGATATGAGAAAATTTTCTCAAAATATATTGAAAATGAATATCAATTTGTAGATCACAATTCACAATAAACTCATTCCACCTATGCAATTTTTTTAAATCCATGTTAAAACAAAGAAAATAAAAACCAATTAAAAATTGGAAAACTAAAAAGCCATTTACTCTAATTCATTAGATCTTACTTCACTTAAAATCAAATGCTCGTATTTGGACCCATTTTTAGATTCCAATTAAACCAAATTGGTTGATCACCAACAAAATCTTTTCACAACTCGTTTCAACCTTTGGCTCAATCAAGAAAGTGAATTAAAGGGTTAGTGGTTAAATAAGTTTAGCCCGATTTAGTCCGAGTATGTATAAAATATCATTGATGTGACGTCAAATGTATAAAATGAATTGGATTAGTTAAATATTTAAATTGATGGATTACATTGGGTATCTACTATCTAGTTACAACCCGTCGAAGATGTTTTAGTAATGTTGTCTTTGACTTTCCAATTGAGCCGGGACCCGGGAGTATGAAATTATTTATATAGGCTAATCATGGATTAATCAATAATCATTTGCATGATCAAGGTGGATACAGTACCATCTTCTTGGCAACTATGTGAATGTTATCCACTTCAAGCTACCCATATGATATGATGATTTCGGATGATGACAAACATCAGCCTGTAGGGTTAGTTAGATCACATGATTACGCCTATGGAGATTAGTGTAATCCGTTTGTTAAACACTTTGGCCCTACATCTGAACTTTGGACGACCTATCTATCGTTTTACTAAAAAATTCGCATTATATAATACTTGCACTAAAATTTCAAAACTACACAATTTTTGTGTGATTCACTGAAGTATCCACCAATTTTGGAGCTGGTTTGCTGGATGAAAGCCATTTCACCCAAACCGCTCGAAACAATGGCCATGTACACGGTCATAATTGGGAAGCTCAATTAGTACGATATTATTCGTTTTGGACCAAGCCCGCACGATTTTATTCTTGGATATCCTTCCCAAAACGCCTCGTACCAATGAGTTTGGTGGACACTGATATACAAGGGTCCTTTCCATTTTATTACTGATGTGGTACTTGGATTGTCCCATAACAGTCCTCCCCTCAAGACAAGGACCACGAACTTCGTGTCCTCACCTCAGCGATTATCTTGATCCACCATACACTTTTGTATCGATGGGCTTCTCGATACAAGAATTTTTCCAGACACAGAACTCTCTTTGATCTGCCAAATCAAACGCGAATCTCCCTTGATCCACCAAACGCGGAACTCTCTTTGATCCGCCAAACAACCCAAACGTGGATCTCTACTGGATCCACCAAACCAGACGCGGATCAGAAATCTTGAGGCCACCAAACGAAGAGCCACCAAACTTGTTGTCCACCGTCCCGGAACCGAACCAGGCTCTGATACCACTTGTCAAACCGGGGTGCTCAATTAGTACGATATTGTCTGCTTTGGGCTAAGCCCGCAAGGTTTTACTCTTGGGTATCCTCCCCAAAAGGCCTCGTACTAATTGGGTTAGGTGGACTCTAATATACAAGGGTTCATTCCCTTGTATTTTCAATGTGGTACTTGGATTGTCTCATAACAATCCTCCCCTCAAGACAAGGACCACGAACATCGTGTCCTCATCTCAGCGATTATCTTGATCCGCCAGACACCTTGTATCGATGGGCTTCTCGTTACAAGGATTTTTCCAGACGCAGAACTCTCTTTGATCCGCCAAATAGACGTGGATCTCTCCTGGATCCGCCAAACAGTCCAGACGCAGAACTCTCTTTGATCTGCCAAACGAAAGCGGATCGCAAATCCCGAGGCCACCAAACGAGGGTCCCACCAAACTGACGTCCACCGCCCTGGATCCGCCGAACCAGGCTCTGATACCACTTGTCATAACTGGGGAGCTCAATTAGTACGATATTGTCCGCTTTGGGCCAAGCGCGCAAGGTTTTACTTTTGGTTATCCTCTCCAAAAGGCTTCGTACTAATTGGGCTAGGTGGACTCTAATATACAAGGGTTCATTCCCTTGTATTTTCGATGTGGTAATTGGATTGTCTCATAACAATCCTCCCCTAAAGACAAGGACCACGAACATCGTGTTCTCACCTCAGTGATTATCTTGATATGCCAGACACCTTGTATCGATGGACTTCTTGTTACAAGGATTTTTCTAGACGCGGAACTCTCTTTGATCCGACAAACAGACGTGGATCTCTCCTGGATCCACCAAACAGCCCAGACGCAAAACTCTCTTTGATCTGCCAAACGAACGCGGATCGCAAATCCCGAGGCCACCAAACGAGGGTCCCACCAAACTCACGTCCACCGCCCTGGATCCGAACCAGGCTCTGATACCACTTGTCATAACCGGGGAGCTCAATTAGTACGATATTGTTCACTTTGGGCTAAACCCGCACGGTTTTACTCTTGGGTATCCTCCCCAAAAGGGGTCGTACTAATTGGGCTAGGTGGACTCTAATATACAAGGGTTCCTTCCCTTGTATTTTCGATGTGGTACTTGGATTGTCTCATAACAATCCTCCCCTCAAGAGAAGGACCACGAACGTCGTGTCCTCACCTTAGTGATTATCTTGATCCGCCAGACACCTTGTATCGATGGGCTTCTCGTTACCCGCAAAAGGTGGGGCGGGTAACCACACCCACCCCAATTTCCACCCCTATTCAAAACCCCTTAAATCCAAAAACATGTCCTCTTTTGAAAAATTCCTCCTCAGCAAATGTCAAGTACTTGAAAATTTATGCAAAATCAAAATTTTTGTTTGCAATGACAGGATGGCGTAGCACAAAGTTAAGGCCGTCTAAACTTTAGCGAAATCACAAAATGGTCAGTTTGGGATAGCAAGCTGTTGGGGGATATTGCAAAGAGTGGAGCCCTCAAATAAAGACAGGTTTGGTTATCGAGAAAGAGAAGTCCACGAAGGGGCTTGCGGGGCCCAGTCTAAATAGGATGAGGGGCGCATAGAGACAAGATACGGAAGACCCCAAAGAAGTCCAGGCTGTCAACGGTCCCCCACCCCTAGACGCCTGTTAGTTGTCAGAGGACTGACAAGGCGGTTGGGGCGCCTGACAATAATAAAGGTACAAAGCATTAAATGCGATGCTGACGGAGAGGAACTCGACCTCGGATTGGGTGAGTATAAATAGGAGCGGTAGGTAGCATTTACACAGGTTGGACTCTCTCACTAAACTCTGGAGCTTACCACTTCTCTCTCTAAACTCAAACTGACTTGATCGTCGGAGGACTAACGGGCCGGGCGCCCTCCTCCGTGTGCGTGTGTGCAGGTCAGGCGCCTCGGACTCATAGAGCGGCGATAAGGTTGGTGTGAAGTGGGGCTCCAAAGTATACGGGCTCAAACAATTGGCTCCAAACTATACGGAATTTAACGACACGCTGAAGAATGTGCTCCAGTATGTGCTCCGATGGCCAGGACCGATGAGAGGGCAACCCAATGAGCAGAACCTGGACCGATACTGTTATTTCCATCGGGAGAGAGGGCATCATACTGCCGATTGTTATCAACTAAAGAAAGAGTTGCAGGGCTTGGTAGATGGAGGAATGCTCAACGACTTTATAGGAAAAGTCGAAGA